ATAAAAGAGGCCTTACAACAATGGATCAGCTTTTGTTATTCAACAAGCTGTATATGAAGTGGCCGGGTATTCTGCAGTTTAGCTAAAGAAAAAGGCGCTATTTAAAGGATTGATAAGGTAGATACAAAAATAGAAAGTGACTAAGTTGGGATCGCGAAAATTACATATTTGCCCAAAAGTGACTAAGATGGGGTCTACAATTGGCCACAAAATAGACTATAATGGGGTAGGGGCTCTGAGAGGCCAGCGGCACATACCCAGCAAAAATTAACCCAAGTAATCCCCCCGGGCATGCAATGCACTATCAGCTGTAAAAACATCGTTAAACTGCGGCAAAAACCACTGGGCTATCGATTGGAAAATCGAACGATGCTTTTTTCATCTTAGGGGTTTCTTTTGCGGCAAGATGACAAGTCACTATTAAAGTCACTAACACTTATGGCAACCATTCTTCAAGGTGAAAAGAACCTCGATCTAAATCTGTTACAGTGGAAACTCGATTTCACGAACCTCTATATAACGAAGTCCTCGATATAACGAACGATTTTCTTTACCCCAGTAATTGTGATAGTAAAATATATGAAAAAGAACCTCGATATAACGAAGCCTCGAAGTGGCGAACAAATTTTGTCAGTCCCTTGGCCCTTCGTTAAATCGAGGTTCCACTGTATTTAGAAAGTAGGCACTGTGAGTACTGAAGACTTGTTTACCATAAGAGAGACTATTAGAGGTACAAAATGAAATTTTATCAGGTTGTTGTTCTTTTTTGGCATCAGCTCTAACTGTTGAGTTAAAGGTCACTTTAACACACATCTGCCATCACTCTGCTCACAATGTACCAAATTCTCGTATTGAATGAATAAAATTGAACATATTTAAAAGCTTATTTTGTGCTCAAACCTTATTGATAAGCCAGCCAGAGTGTGGACAAAATCGTGAACCTCCCTGTACCGCTGCATTACATAAGCGAGATCAGAGTCATCTATAAACTTCACCTAAATAAAGGACCAAAAGATATCTTAAATTTCTACCTTTGGGTAAAAGTTGTTAGTCAGATATCTCATTAGAACGGCAGCTATGAGTCACACACAGCACTGCCACTTATCCTGGATGGATGCAAGTCCATACTACATGTAGAGTTACAGCCCTTCTACACTGGACTGAGAAATTTGTTTATCTCATCTAAAAAATCAAGAGTGTGCCTTTATCAAATTTTACCCAAGTGCAATGAGACTGAAATGCATAGATATTAAGTACATGAAGAAATTCTCGCATGTTCAATCAAGCCTTCACCATATGAGACAGTCTTACCGCTCAGTGGTTAGAGCATCCAACTGGTAACTGGACTGTTGTGGGTTCAATTGCTACCACACGGCCTCAGATTATTTTCATTACTTATCACTACTTTAGTTTCATTACACTTGGGCGGTTGGTTGGTTCAAAGTGTACACAACACTATCTTACTTCATCTGCTTGTGAGATGCAGGTAATTTAACTTGTTGCTTTGAATAGTGTCCAGTAGTACTCGCAAGATAAAAAGCCCTGTGACTACCCAAAGCGTACAACCTGCGCTCTACATGAGTCACCTACAGATCAGTACTTCAAGCACCAAACAGTTAACTGAAAGATTGTGAGTTCCATTCCTGCTGGGAGGGCCTGGATTTTTTCCGAGCATTTGTTCATATACTTAATATTTAACAAACTGGAAACAAGGGTGCATAAATCACAAAGCAGCATGGAATTTTAATCCTCAATAGGGTATTCCTCCTAAACCCCCTCCTTTTTTTGCTACACAAGAAAAGGAAAAAATGTACTTTAAATGAGTGCTCGTGCCTGTGCTTATTCTATGCTGGTTCTCAAAATATTTTTCTTTGTGCTTGGAGTATGGCACAAATGTGAGTACAACCTTAATAGTGTTTAAACTGAAAACTCTGACTAAGGTACAGAAACTTTAGATTTATGAACCATTACCAAATTTGTACCGAAAAATATGTTTCATGGCACTGTATAGGTCCTGTGCCATTATACAAATGCATCAGAAAACGTTTTTCTTGGACATGACTCCCATGATATTCTTAGTTTCAATCAAATTATATTAAACTATAGTTATTTTACAAAAAAATAGTTTCTTCTTACCTCATCTCTATCAGGAGAAAGTTTCTAAATAGAGAGAGACAGACAGGTTCAGTAAGCCAAGCTTTTAATAAGAAAGAAATGCTGTATTTTAGAGTAGAAACCCAATAACATGAACTCTGAAGGGAAAAGAACAGTTCGAGTTAGTGGGGGGTTAGAGTTATTAGGGTCGATTGCAAAATTAAATTTGTCCTGTTTAGTAAAAATTAATGGTACTGATTTTCAGTACTTCAGTGTGTAGTGCAGTGCAAATTTAACTTATTTCATCAGAAACAGTAGCATGATAAGGCATTTCTAATGATAAAACATGATCTGCTCGCTTCAGCAATATTAAATCAAATTACTTTGGTGTTGCCCAGTGTTAATTTTAGTGTTTTTACCCTTACACAACAAGAAGAGCTAATGCGATGGCATCCAAGTGGAGTTAAAAGAACCAGAATTCGTGTTATCACAGTAAATTTCAGTGACTTTTTGATCAAGGGAAAGGAAATTAAGTTCGAGTTAGTGGGGAATTCGAGTTATCCGAGCTTGAATTAACCGAGTAAAAAAGACTGAAAAGTGGGGTGAAATCCAAGGGAAATTGGACTTAGTTCCAGTTAGCAGGGAGTTAAAGTTATCTGAGTTCAAGTTGTTGGGGTTCCACCATAATTATTTAAAATGAGATGGTGTACACTAGGGACTTCTATTTTGGTGATAACCTACACTGTATATCAACCTAATTTTTTCTTTTCACCAAACTGGGCCATAAGGGTATCAAAAATTAGCTAATATGTTTTGTTTTCCGAGTAGAGGTCATGTGATGTTTGCAAGGGATTCACCCTTTGTCTTCACATGTTACGTTTGTTGTAGGTCAAAATATAATTCAGGTTAAAATGATTTCAACTGAGTTTGATTCTGAGTTTCCTTTGTCTTCTAGCCCCAAATACTCACTTTATTTTTTACCTACAACACATATATGCAGTCCATGTGGACATCAAGAACTTTTCAAGACCATGCAAACCCTGACAACCCATCTTTTAAATCTTAATGAACAGCAAACAAGCTCACATTTATATCCATTCCTCTGACATATTCCCTCCCAAACAATCCATCTGGAAGCTGCCGGAGTTTATTAAAGTCTACTGTGGATGAATTTAAGCGTGGACGTTCTCTAAAAGATAAAAAATACACAGTATGGATGACAGATTCATGACATAATACCTCAGGTATATATTAATACTACATTTAACATCTCTAGCTTTCTTGCATTCTTAACCAATGCAAAAATAATACCTGTTTGCAATCTAAGCCAGGAATAACTGGTGGGTCAGGGTGTAAAGAAAGTCATCTTTACAGCTTGCCATTTGGGCAAGCTGAAGCTAACATTTAGTAGCCCAAACATCATTTCAACTAGCCCCAAAAACGTTTTTTATGAGCAAATTGATTTCACAGTTCTTCTGTGATTTGAATTCCTAAAAAAACTTCACTTGCCCATCGGGCAAGTTAATAACAGAATTCACAAGCCCAATAGCAAAATCCACAAGCCCCGGGCTATCGGACATTAGTCAAATCAATTATTATCAATGCTGCGTTCTTATTGGTTGAGCTACTACTAGGCTATATGTTATAGCCCACTGGTAGTGCAAAGCGCCGGCTTTTTGGCGGTAAAAAAAGGCTTTAAGTCTAGCTTTAACTGGCTAAAGTCGTGTTGTCTCGATATTTTTAACCAACTAGTTGGATTTTATTAAAACAATAATTATTCCTCCTGCCCTCATGACCTCTGAGTCAGTAGCCCATTCAGCCTTCGGCCTCATGGGCTATTGACTTAGAGCCCATTCAGGCTCGAGGAATAATAAATTGTTAACTACTTTCTTTGCACGCTGTGGGTTAAATCTTAAAGTTACTCTTCTGGCAGAGGCCTGTCAAGGTACCAAGTGACTGTTGATTGTTGGTATCCACACCTCATGAAAGGAACATTTTGTCATTTTTTAAAAATGGAATATATTACTTTCCTATTAGTTCAGGGGTGCACAAAAAGCAAATTTCTCAAGATAGTTTTTGTGTTTAAAAGTGACACAGCCGCCCACTCAAGTTCGACCTTTTTTCTTCCCAATTTAGTTATTTTATTGTTTTTCCTTGTTTGTTTGTTTGTTTTTTCTTCTGTTTGTTTTTTTCTTTGCTGGGCATTTCCTAGAGTTCATTTTGGTGGGGAAAGTTTTTGGTAAAACTTTTAGGATGTAGTAGGGTTAGATTAAATAAAGTGAAAGTAGGTAGTGGAGCAAGAGTTTCATTGGAATTTCTGCTCAACTTTGTATGGTTTCTTGCATATTTCTCTAGCCTGTTTGACTAAATCATGCTCATTTGGGTATAGTTTAAAAGATTTCTTCCTCCTGCATAAGTTAGATGTCAAAATTGTCAATGATCATTAAAACTGATAACATCAAGGGATGTGGATCCGCCACAAAGGATGTGGTTACTGGCAGTTAAGGGGTGAATGAGTGAATGAGTCAAACCGTCAATGGTAGATTAAATACCTACTCTAAAATCTGTTGTCCCACAGGATCTTGACCCATTCTATGGTGCATTTTCTTTAGTGCTAACAGCCCTGTTGTCTCTCCAAGAGTGGCCACCATATCTGTTCACAAAAAAAAAAATAATAAGCATGACCACTACACCAAACTGGAGCACTTTGATTTATACATGGCTCCAAGAGATACATATATCCATTGCCCTTCCTCTTTTAAGCAAGACAGTTGTCAACATTTGAGAAAAATTCAAATTCAGACTTGACACTGGTCACTCTTGCAATTCACGAAAAAATTTGGCACCAGAGAAATAGTCCAGATGACCAAGAAGTTTGGGGAATCAAGGTCCAGTTAACTGAGGTTTGACTGTATTTTGAATTTCTGAAAAGTTAGGGTTTCTTTCCCTACAACGGCATAAGCTGGTAAGATTTACTGGGAAAATTACAAACTCGTCTCACATGTTAATGACACCTAGTTTATTCCACCCACTTCTTGGCAAAGACAAGTAATCAGACAAAACAAGCCTTCTTATATACAATAACATAAAATAATTTTAACACTGGTGCTTTTAAAATATAAACATAAGATAAGTTTATCAAAGCACTATAAAGAGCCCTCACCAGCCCTGGTAGGATTATACAATGCCATTAGTGCAGATCCTGCGGTTAGCAACAGCTTCTGCATTGCAGATGTAGGAATATGGGACTCATAGAGCTGAAAACTGTAGGGTTCAACATCCTCCTTTGAAGAATGGATACTATCATTGATCATATCATCAAGTTCAAATCCTAGTTGAAGAGAAGAGAGAATGTTAAATTATCAGTAATAATCAGGGATAGCAGGTCCATGTAGATAGAAGGAAGCAATGTATGGCCGAGTGGTTGAAACACTGATTTGGACCCACAAACTGGAGGTCTCAAGTTTGAGTCTTGCTCCAACCACTACCTGAATTTGTTTCTTGGTGGTACCACCTTTGACTTCCCACCGACAATTGTAAGCTAACTAGAGCAGCCATTTCTACCTAGGTTAAAATGTTTAAAGTTCACAATTATCAAAACAGCATATTCTCGAATCTGTTTTTTTGCTAAACACCATTAAGGACAACAAATATTTGCCTAACAGCCACAACTGTCGTTTCATCTTTTAAAACGACAACTTCTTAATTCTCATGACCTGTACAATAATTTAACAGCCTATCATACAGATATTTCATGACATAATGAACAATAGTGAAAAACAAGTTAATAGTTTTGTCAAAGTTGGCATCGTGCATTGAATATGTGTGGATCACAAAGTGAGACAGAAACACAAGTCGGCTTTATATATATTTATACATCTTGACTTCCAGTTGGTAGTCACAGTAACATCATCGGTTGTGCATGATAAATATATACAGCTCCAGCAGTTTTAAACAGTGTCTACAGGCAGAATTTCACAGGAAAAAGCTTCAAAGATAATAACTTAACAATGCCATTTAACATTTGGTGATGTGGCACAGTAGTCTAGGCAATAATGTCGCAAGTAGGTGGTCCAGGGTTCAACTCCTGGCCAAAGAACCTTTTTTCCCCTCTTTTAGTTGTTTGTTTGTTTGTTTGTTTGTTTTTTTAATAAGTCTCACTTGCTTTAGCTGTAAGACTCTCAAAATGCAAGCATTTCTTTTCTTTTTTTTTTTTTTCTTTTTTCTTTGTAAAAAGGGAGTTTATGGCCCCAGCCTTCCTTAGCGGAGCCGGTGTAACTTGCTTTTTTTTGTGAAGAAGGTTTAGGGGATTGGTTGAAAAGAGGGCGAATGCAAGCATTTCTTTTCTTTTTTTTTTTTTTCATGTGTGCATGTCAAAAGGGAGATCATGGTCCCAGGCGTTCCTAGCGGGGACCGTGGAAACTGCTTTATTTTGTGAAGAAAGCTTAGAGAGATTGATGCAAAAGATGCAGCTACTGATTGGTGCAGTGCTGGTAGTGTTGATTAAATAGCTGTCAATACATCAATCAAAGCAGGTAGGTTTTGTTTACGTGCGTGGCAGATCTGCTCTGATCTGATTTGAGGTCGTAGATTACAAAATTAATGCTTAGGTGTGATATTTATTTGAATCGTGTCTGCAAAGGTTTATCATGATCAGAACTGAGTCCCTTCAAAGTATAATTGGAGATCGAGCAGTGGAGACTAGTGAAGGCCAATTTATTGGGAGTATGATGGCATGCATATCTGACTGGAAAAAATGGACTGTTTGTTGGAGATAACATCAATGTAAATCAGAACATCAGTACTAGCTAGAGCCGCCATGGACAAGTGATTTGTCAACTTTTTGAAATGAAAAGATTCTCTTTGTTTATTGGAAATTAAGCATGCATTGTAGAGAACTTTGCGACGCTTACGGGCCTATGGAGAGTAGCCACTCTGCAAAACTCATAGCCGGCGGAGTGAATTGTTCTTTGCAACGTTTTGACAAGGTTTCTGATGAGATAAAGCCACATATAACATTCAAAATTTAACTTAACTATGAAGAACAAGAAATTCCGAAGCAATCACTTAAAGTTTCAACCTTCTTTTATTGTAAAGCTTCTTTTCATTTTAGTGCAACTGCATGCAGCGTGTTTTACAGAACAAGGTAAATTTTTCAAATCTGGTAATCTGTTCGTTATCTATCTTGATGAGCTGCCAATTTACAAATGAACCGAACCGTGAAATATCAAGGGGCGTTTTTCAGAATCGTGGGGTTTGCGGGCAAGCGTTTCCTCTTCTCCCATCCTCTTCCCCCCCCCCCTCCCCCCCCTTTTTTCTTTTTGCTCCCGCTCTAACTTTCGCGCAAACGCTTGCTACGCAGGCTAGGAAATGAGAAGCGAAGGGTTGCGAACAACAGAAGAAGGGCTATTATACCAATTTTTCATATTTACGTTTTGGTTTTATCACTTTTTGGGACTATTAACAGATTTAAGAAGCAGCCGCGCGCTCAAATCGAAATGAGCTTGCAGTCTCTAAACGACCTTCAGTAGTTTATACGCTTAGTAATTGACTAGGAGCTATGGAAAGACCCGAGTACGTTCAGGTTATTAAACATTACCTGCTGAAACAAACCGCCTTCCCTCTGATTTTCTCCAGGAATTAAACAGAAATTTCAGAGCACGACGACTCCGAACGCTGGAGACCGCCATTTTGTTTCCAGTCTAAGTCCGACCTTTCACTGTCAAGATAAGATTACAGGCAGCCCATTCTCACGCACAGGAATACTACCAGTAAATTGCCAGAGTACGTAACCTAAAAAAAGGGTTTATGTGGGAACAGTAAAATGCACCTACTTTTAAGTTTAAACTGAATAAGAATAAAATTTTAGGCATTCTTTTGCTAAATTTCCATTGTTACAATCTGGGCAATCCAGCAAGCCGGAGCGAGGGACTCATTCCATTCCCGCCACACACCCAATTCATTTTTCAATTCCCTCGCCGTCTCCTTGCGATTTACCGCCAAAACGGAGAGTATATGCTCACAGGCTGCCCCTGGTTCTCCACTTTGAAAGGCGTGGGCCGATCATTCCGTCCGATCAAACCAAGCAGACTTCAGAAACCTGCACCGCGAAATCATCCTCCTCGGCTCGTGTGACCACTGTGGTACCTTACTTTGGAAAGACTGAAATGAGACTGTCCAAGTCTTAACGCACCCGCTAAGATTCCGGAAACTGAGAATTGATTATTATGTTATCCAAAATGTTTCGCGACTTTAACTACCGGTATTCAGGTTTGGTGGGTAAACAGCTCATCTCACCCGAAGTTGTTATCCAATTACGCATGCTTAGCTTGTACCACGAAGCCTTATACATAAGCATTACATCACTTTCAAAACGTGGCGTGTATTTGTCGTTTTAAGAATATAACTAGACCCGTTCTGACGGTACACAGAACGCGGGCAAGTTTCATGCATCGCGTGTCCTTTTTAAATTACCACCAAAGATGGGCGGATATCTTCTATCCCTTTGAAATTATATGACTGATCTCTCTATATTCCCCTATTCCAATAAAAACAAAGCAGCGATTAACGCACGCATTTGTTGAGGGAGCGCAAATTTTGCCCATCAAGTCCTCTTTTCGAAACTGCAAAAGTATTTGCGTCTATATTTGCTATATCATTTTCTTGTAGGAGTTCTTAAACCCCCGCGCCTCTTGTGGTGGCGTGGGCTTGAGCAAGTTACTCCTTGCCGAAATAATGGTTTTCACGCTTAAACGCTAACAAAGAAAAAACACAAGTGATCTGAATATGTTTGCAATCTAGGAAATCATTTCAAAGGAGCTTTATCTGAAAGGATTTTTTCACAACTTTGCAGAAGTGGACTGTGTAAGTCCCAAAGGGCCTTTTCCATCTTTCGCACCTATTGTTTTTATTTCCTTGTCACGGTCAATGACTTGGCGTGTCTTAGTGTCTTAGTGAACTAATAATACATGAGAAAAATGTAAATAAAAGGCTTAAAACTGTTTTGATTTTCTGATCGCGTGTCCGTAAATGAAGCTAGCAGTGCGACTGTAGACAATCCCTGAACAAGATATCTGCCATTATAGTCAATATAACATTTAGATACGGTGGTAGCTTGTGCGAAACACTCTAACAAGAGTTAGATACATAAAGAATGACATTCTGAAAGAGTAAATAAGCAAGATTAAAATAAGAACACTGATTAGATCAGCGATTTGGTAACTGTATAATGTATGATTGAGTGTGACTACGCTTTGTTTCATAACATAAAAAACGAGTGAGAAAATTATCCGCACCAAATAACCAGAGTGATTATTGGCTGACCATCGTCAAAATGTCAAAGTCAACTTTAATTTCATTCCTACGCTCATAAGGGAAATATTTCTTGAGAACAAGTGTTACATCTCTGCTAAAACAATCAAAGCTCTTAGCATTGCTATTGCCGGATTCATCTGCGTGCAGTGCTTGTTCCGGGTTGGCGTGTTATGATCTTTATTTGCTTCTCTTGACACAGAGCACGCAGCGGTGAAATCACCCTCAACACACTTATTTGCGCAAATCAATTAGGCTGCTTCCCTAACTTTTAAACGTTTGTGGTCACCGTGGACCTTTGTTGCGCGCGCTTTATCTGAATACTATCAGCTGCGTCATAAGCCAGTCTTCAGAAAGTTTTAATTGGCCGGTATTAATCCTAACCGATAAGACACAAAACCAAAAACCTCAACGTTTTACACCTGCCCCAACCGCAGGCGAAATTTCTTTCCTAGACTGCCTTGCGCTAAGCAGGACCGCCCAATCACAAGCTCTTGAATACAGACTTTGTGAGCAATTAACGCCCAACAGTGAATTGTTCGCAAGACACCTTTTGCACTTCAAAGCAGTTTTGTATACACTTGGTGTCTCGAGGGTCAATTAGGGGGATTGTTTATGCCACTAGCCAATCAATTTGCACGTCGCACAAGAGCGATCTAGTATTCATTGTGTGGCGCTGTTAGACCAAACGCGGTGTAGAGGTGATACTTGTTATAAACCAACCGTGTTACTGACTTCTGGAGTTGTCTTCTGACGAAAGTGATCAAAACTCAACGGGAACAAAACCATGAGTCAACGAGCAGAAGACAGTGAAAATCTCTCACCAAAAGCGGCAGCTTTCTCTATCGCCAGCCTACTGACAAACGATCTTCAAGGAAATTCCAACGCTAGTAGAACAAGAGAGATGAATCCGCCCTTGACAGTTTACACAGAAAGAGAGAATTGTTGGACCGGACACAAAAATGACCTGTCTGCACACAAGGCTATGAGCTGTGCTCCCACAAAGGAAGAATGCGAGAGCTATTCCATCCAGAGCATTTTAAATGGAGAATATCCGAGAGGCGATAAATACGCTGACGGCAATGTCAAACGAGAAATGGAAAAAAATGTTTCAAACAGCGATCCTCTGCATCAGTTAGCAGCCTGTTGCGATCTGGTCAGAACTATAGACACTTTGAAAGACCCAACTTCACTGTTATCGCCTCAAATGAGAATTTTGGATGTCCAACGCGAAGTACAAGTTGCAATGCAGCAAAGTGATCTTTGGTGGAAATTTTACGCCTGCGGCACAGAAATGGTCATCACTCGCACTGGAAGGTGAGAAAATTTATCATTTAATGTGTTGTAAACTTGCTTTATTTAGTAACAGATCATGTTTCGCTGCAGCGTAAAGGCAAAGAGTTTGAAATATGACTTTTCAAAAAGTCACTTCAAATGTTTATGTACCACTTGACATAAAAACAAGATTCTTTATTACATATTGCTTGAGACAACCGTGAAAATTACCCAAATTATTGGAAATGAAAAGTTATTAAATAACTAAGGAATTCCGCCACATTTTACAAAATTTCACACCTTTGAAAATGGCTGCGTGTTAAGATTTGTTTTAAAACAGCCTGTAATATCCTTTCTTGTCAGTTCACCTTACGTTGCTTTTGAAAAGCAAAAAAAAGAAAGATTGTGAGCAGACTTAAACATCGGTGGTTTTGGTGTAAATTCCCTAACCGCTCGCGTGAAACAACTTGCTACCTTGACTTAAGAAACTTTACCGGAACTCCAATACTAAGAAACTTCTCCCCACAATACAAAGAAACGATCTTGCTTCCATTCAAATCCAGAGCTGTCACAATTGTCGTCTTTGAAACACAAACTAAAACTAACTCACCAGAGGAATAATTCTTTTCGCATTTAATTCAGGCAACGATTATTTTCGCTGCGGGCAGCTCGGTTTTCTTAATTCGTGTTTCGATAATTGCACAAAACATCCGACCCGGCTAATCCTTCGCCAGAAGTATGAAAAATAATATATCTGTTTAGCTCCTAAGTTATTATCTGTCATTTCTCTTTTGAACTCCGCATTTTTACCATTTCGTGACGTCATGTTAAAAGATATTTTTCGTATTCACCCGAGTTTCTGAAAGTGAAGAATGGGGTCGCGTGCCACTGAAGTTTTATGTTCTGTTCTATGATACTCCCATGTGTAACAAACAAAGCAAATCTCTTTTTGCTTTCCTTTAAACTGTTGATTTGCTTTCTCCGCATGTGCCTTTGATACAAGTCAATTTGTTCATCACGATTCAATTGTGTTTAGGCGTGGGGATGAAATTTAGACCAGCAAATAGTACGTTTATTGTGCGCAATTAAGTCTTTTCAACTACTGAGTGTGTGAGAAACTTTTTAACTCTTGCATGGTAAAATGTTGTCTATAACTATGCAATTGAAGGAATCCTTGAGTGTGAATTTAGTGCGTCAATGCATAAATAACATTTGCACTTTATCAATACTAAATGATTCTGTTTTCAAAAACCAAAGAAGCGTTTATTAACAATATTCTTTCAAACTATCTTTTGTGTTTAGTGTCAGATAAGGCTTTTAGTAGAGCAACACAAAATACTGTATCATTAATCCACTTTAAACTCTCTTAATCGAGCCTCAGCGTTTTCAAACTGGCTAAGTTGAAGACTTAAGGGCGATCTCTAATACCTGCAATGGAAGCTTTTAAAGATCAAGATTGCTATTATCACTTCCAGGTGTAGTGTTATTAAAATTCAGGCTAGTGACTTTTAATATGCAAAAAAATCCCCAGATATAATGAAGATAAGTATTATTCACATGTGGGCACAAAGAGGTTTTTGATCGCTTATCTTTCCAAGCACTGAAAATGTCCTAAAAGTAATTTAATTGTGTGTCCTCCTTGATCAATCACGCTTACACAAAAGTTTTAGATAATCCCTAAGACCGATACAACAAACATAATGCCCCGAGGGATGGAAAGATTTCAAGTATAGAGCTCTATGCCTGGTTTATTAGATTATTTAATTGTTTTTGTTTGGGTATAGGAAAAGAGCCCTTGCTTAGACTGGGGGTATTTGTTAGTGCTTGTAAGGGATTTAGAAGGAGCTTAAACAGATGTGGTGGATTCTCTTCGCTGGCTAGAGTTTTATTGGCAGATAAAACTTTATTTATAAATGAGAACGGCATGTTTTTCTTGTTGGCTAATACAGAACTGGATATTTTCTAGTATCGTTAACAGCCATAACACCATGGCCAGCAACACAGAGCAGGGATGTTTCTTTCAGCTTCTTCGTTTTGAAAAGCCAGTGTATATTTGATGAAAAGCTCTGCTGTTCATATCCTCACTCTGCTATAAAATTCGTCGCAGCGAAGGA